TTGGTTCTCATTCCTTCTTGCATGAATTTCATGAGTTCTAACAACTGTCCCATGTTTGCAGGCTGACAATACAACTGTTTATTGCAGTCTTCAATCCAATTCATTAATGAACCCAATCCGTACCACTTCTGACACTAGTTGTCTCGTATTTTACGGCAGTAACTGCTGAAAACCGAAGTGAATGGAGAAGTTCATGGAGGTAGGCCTAGGCCCACTGGGGCTGTAGTGCCAAGGAAAAAAATACTGCTGATGAATTCAAAACTATCCGAGCTGCCAACTTCTGACACCAAAATGTCACGTGTATTAGTGACTAATAACGCGGGTTTTGGATTGGATAAACGGGTTTATTAACTTCTTATATGCACAACTAGTAATTACACGTAATTATAGCACTATCGCTATTTATACGCTTTATAATTCACTGTTACACACACACATACACACACACACACACACACTAGTCGTCTCCTGGTAACGCAATTAAAACACATGAACTATAACAATTTCACTGAATTACATACTTAAAACGTTACACATAAAGTCTTCTCTTCACTGCCGCGCTCTTGCAACTAACTCATAACTACACTGCACTGCGCTGCACTAATCTAAATCGAAGTCAAAGTCACATTGCGGACTGGCCATCCAATCAGTATGTCTTGGTGTCGAGCCCCATCTAGGGCTTATGACCAGATATATACTATTATTGTGTAACAGTTACGGTCTTGTTTTTGTGGGGCGTTCTCTCTGACGAGAGGACGGGTCTGTCTTCTTATATGCTGCTGGCCCTCGCCAGTGCAGTCTTTCTCGGGCCCGAATCCCTTGGGACTCGCGACCATATTTTAATGTCTCAGATCTGAGACTTCCCTTTTCGTAATGCGGCAGCTGAATCCTTAACCACAACAATCTGACCACCTGAAGATGGCCAGTTAGGCCGAAACATGTAGTGTCCAATAAAGGAATAGTGAACGACGTTATACTTAGACGGCGCAAAAACTTCTATGTATGTCAGATCTATACACTGCAAGAGGTTGCTGAAATATAACATTATGAATACTATAATGTTCACACTTACAGATTTTAATGAGATGGGACATCCATGTAACATTTCATCTACAAAATCTGAAGGGAATATATAAGTTACGAGACGTGACGCTAATATTACCATGCATCTTAAATTAATTAAGTGCGGCTCGTGACAGGGTCCAGTGGGGGGTTCTTCAGAACATGGTAATGAACCAGTGGGTTTCATGCAGAGCGGAGGGTTTCTTGACTCTCTTCCAAAAAGGTTTCTGCTCCACGGATTCAGTTAAAGTGGAAGAGTTTTAAGGTAATAGCATAAATTTGATGAAACGTATGTCTGTAACTTCCAGAATCAAACTAGAGAGCAAAAGAATAACTCATTCACTCGTGGAACTGAGCCCGTCTTGAGAAGCCGCCAGTTGTGAAACTACACAAGAACTTCCCAGCATTTTATGGAACCAGAAGGTTCATTATCGTGTTCACAGGAGCCCTCCACTGGTCCCTATCCTAAGCCAGATCAATCCAATCCATCCCATCCCATCCTATCTCTCCAAGATCCATTTTAATATTATCCACCCACCTATGTCTTTGTCTCCCCAGTGGTCTCCTTCTGGCTTCCCAACCAATAGCCTATATGAATTCCTTTTCTCCCCCATTTTCCCCACGTGCAGAGCAAAGGAATAATTTCAGAAAACAACGTTACAATCACATTAACTTTCATTACTTTTAGGATATTTAAGTTATTCTGGAATCCACTCTAGTATAAAATAACTGCAGATAATATTACTTATTTATTTCCAAAAAACTCGTCTTGTTGAAACCCGGACATAGATTTTACATACAGTGAAGTATGTACCATATAACGCCTCGTTGTCTGTTCAAAATCAAATTTTCTACCTACTTCATGGTGATTTCTTGCTTTGTTTATTCTTCAATCCTGAAGATGGAGGTGACATACTACTCTGAAATATCTACTGATATTCAACGGACTACGGCATTATATTGTAGAAGACAGACATCTTCAGAACCACCGGTGTGAGAACATGAAATCCTTGGTCTACACTTCACTGACAGAGTACTCTGAGGAGCCACAGAGCCGGTGACAGACTCTGAGCTAGTTCCAAAATGCCAACTGCAAGTTTCTTACTATTCGGACAGAGTAGGAAGACGCAAGCATGAGCAAATGTAGGTCAGGATGAATATGTGATGCAGCTCGTGAATACAAACACATGACAAACTAAATCAGTTAGGTAATTTACTGTGACGTCTGAATGATCCCAACACAATTAAGCCCTTGTCTTTTTTTCCCCCCGGCGAAGGAGAGTCAAACAATTATTCTGTTGCTAATGCTTTGTGCTAGTCACTGTGAAAGCCATACCATCATTAGGGCCTGTTCCATTTGTACTTTACAGTCAGGCACAAATTAACATGTGAATTTTTAACTCTTACCAACCTATTCAAAGCACTTCGACAGATCATTTTCTACTAACTGGTGGGGACAACAAAGAAACAACTGCAACTTATGGCCAGAGCCATGGTTATTTGTCTGTCGCTATCGTAAATACAATCCCGAAACGATTGAATTGAATGTTTCTACTGTTATCGTTTATCGGCCCGCGTTAATTATAATTATTTGTAATGAACGGACATTATACAAAATCACTGTCTGAGAATTATACACAACTGACAGTTATTAGCAGAAACTGAAAATTAATCACAATTACCTTTACACATATAAAATGTAAGTTTACCCTCCGCATTCTATCGGTTTCCTGTGTCCCACTGCGGACCGAATAGAGAAGACCTAAAGACATCAAGAATTTAATGTATGGTCTTCGTGATGCCTGTTTTGGTGTGGTTGAGAATGGAGAAAGACCTCGGCAGTCAAGGAAGAAGCGTTCGGTTGCAGATTGATTGTGTGTTATTGTTAATTTGTTGGATTAAGTGAGATTGTATAAGTGGATGTTAATAAATCCAGTCATCCAATCCAAAACCCGTTATTATTAGTCACGCAGATATACCTTGAAAACCATGTTGGTATTATGTTAAGCTAGGGTAGCCGTGTTTTATAAAAATGTGTGATAACAGATGAGTCAGTGTACTTCCAGTACCAAAGATAGGAGACTTTTGCATTTATACTGTACAGGAGATTCTCCATGGGCTCTACCCTGCGGCGCATGAATACAGTCCACCCCTCACACTTTATTTTGTAAGATCAACTTTAATAGTATCTTTTCATACATTCTTTCGTTCTCCTTCGTGTTTTCTAAGAGACTTTGTCTCTAAACATCTTCAGTCCGTCTCCTTCACATAGAGTTACAGACCAAGACGGAATGAACGTAGGGTATGGTAACCGAACAAGGTGTGATCAGCTGAAAGCAGCAACAAAAAAAAAAAAGATAAATTCACAACTGTGTGAAACTGAATGTAAAATAATTTAGAGAAACAGCATGAGCACACTAGAGCACTGTGCACAATATGGCACAGATATACAGCACGAACAGATGAAGCAGATGGCCAAATGCGGATACCGGAAGGAAAGGGTGGTAGGAAAACGAGAGCAAACTGGTTAGAAGGAATTCACAGAGCTATAGCAGGGGGATGAAATGATGAGCAGACATAAGAACAAGACAAAAAGAAAACCAACGAAAAATGGAATAAAAAAACATTTATTAGAGCGAAAAGAAGGCCAATTCCGGGTTATGCTTTGCTGCCGATCCAGAACCTGTTCCAGCTGGAATCTGATAACACCCTGCTACAGTTCGTGCACCACATGCAGGACTGAATTCAATGAAACAAAGCAACACTTTAGCGGTCACACGTCGTGATTTTTGGGGTACGAAGCCAACCAGTACTTTTCCAATTCTGAATATCACCACTGCACATAACGTAGCAGCATATTATTAGTATTATTATTAGTGGGGCGAGACTGAGTCCACTTGGTATTGCAGCCAGTACTGGCCTATTCTACCAGCCCCAGATGATACATGATGGTGATTGTGCAGCAATTGGCGGAATGAAGATCGGCAGGGGAAACCGAAGTACTCAGAGAAAACCTGCCCCAGCGCCACTTTGTCCGCCACAAATCCCACTTGATCAGACATGGGCTCGAACCCGGGCCGCAGCGGTGGGAAGCCAGCGACTAACCGCCTGAGCTATGGCACGGCCTACACAGCAGGATAACTTTACAAGAAACGTCTTGAAGTGCTATCCTTCCTAATGCATAAACAAGTATCATAAGCCCATCAAGTTTTACCTTTACATGCTTCGGCTATTAATGGACATCATCAGGAGGCACAGCCAACACTCTAAAGGAACAACTTTACATATGTTGCTATAGTACCTTACAGGTAAATGTAAAGGTAAAGCTATCCCACTAACAGGCCATGGAGGTCCATAGTTCTGCAAGACTTCGAGGCTCTCACATTTTGTAGATAATCGGCTCAGAGATGGCGGTGAGGTTGTCAGCCTTACTCACCGGCCGCCCTTTAACCACCCGGAAGATTCCTGGTACTAATTTCTGTTACAGGCTAAGTCGACACCAGGTCCATGGTGCAGCTGGAAGGATTAGGTCAATTCCCTTATCGGGAATGGAACCTGCAACCTTCCGGCTTGTAGCTTAGTGCCTCAGCCAACTACGCTACCGTGTGCCCCCAGTATCATAACGGCACTTAAAACAATTATAGAAATTAAGAGCAAACAGTTAATACAGCTAACATTAGTTACGAATGCCAACAGCACTCGGTTAAAAGAAGTTAGAAGGTCTTGTTAAGCAGAGGGAAGAATGTGCTTTGTGACGGCCTCCGTTTGTATTGTTTGTTGCGCAGAATATTCTATCGACTGTTGCATTGTGGGCTGTATGTCCGTCTGTAACATAATGTGTGTAATCTAGTGAAGCTTGTGGTAGTGAGTGGAGCGTGGGACGTGCCCTGGCGGACCAGCCTGCTATTAAATCAGTTACACTTAACAGACTTCTACTAGTTATTTGTGTAATAGGACAGTGTTTCTTACACTGAAACCGAACAGCTATCACCTTATACCTGTAGTTTATTTAATGAAGACTATACAGAGCCAAATTACTGGATCACAGGAAAGGACGTGCAAGAAAATCGTCGTAATTATGATGCACTATTCCAGAATTTCCTTGCGATACTGAGGAAACCCAAGAAAAACCTCAGTCAGGGTAGTTGGTGTCCCGGCAGAGATTAGAACTGAGTACCTCCTGAATATAAATCAGAAGCGTTGCGACTTCAGCAGACTTCCTTGGTCAAACGGCTATGAAAGTAAACTCGGTGATATGTGGAGGTTGGTTCTAGGCACTCCCCCACCCACAGAGACTCACTACATGCACTGGGTTACAGGAAGACCTCTATTAGACTAGCATTCATACGTCATGCGGGTACTTAACTACAGGCCCTGACTAACAGGATAAGTGTAACCGAGCAGGAAGATTTATATCTCGGCAGCGGCCATTGTGACTTCTGTTGTCGCGTTGTCATCTATCTTCTTGGGGCCGACAAAACCGATAACCTTGACCAGACAGTTGGTGTGATAGTGACATAAATTCGCTAGTGTTCTGAAAAAACACTGCAGAACTTTCAACGGAAGCTTCCTAAAAAAAATATTCTTATTTATATCACGCAAGAAGCAAACCTACAGCCTGATGCCCATTCTAATGGAGTGCAAACGTCTGCGTAGTTTGGTAATTAATCAAGAGCAATTTCTTGCTCTTTCATGTAATGATTTAAGGTCTTCATACATAAACTAGTGACAAATCAAGTGAAATCGATGTTGTAGGAGCCAAAACGGTTTGTTCTGATACCAGTGCCAGGTTCTTTGATCTCTGTCGCCCAAGGATCTACCCTGTACGCAGCGAACTACACACAGGTAGGCCTGCAATTTATTCAACTTCACTTTCACTGCAGTTTCTGCATCGTCGCTTGGATTACGCAACATCGAGGATCATACACTTTCGCGACCAAATTCTGGCCTTCCTTAGGGTTCATTAGTCTTGCTAGTGGTTTGATGCAGACTCCTTAGGTACTACAGCGTCAGATGGGACTACTGTACCAGCTTCGGATGAGAAATGAGAACGGGGCATTCGCGGGATGATAGTTCACAGAGTAAAGCCGAAGATCTCGAGAGAAAACTTGCCAAAGTGGTCACTTACCACATGGGCCCTGGGACTGAACTCAGGAATTCGCTGTTAGAAGCTATCGGCTAATGACCTAAGCTATGGCACAGCGGCCTCCGTAGTCTAGAGGTAACGTTCCCACCTCATGACTCGTGGTACGCGGGTTCAAATACCCGGCGGAGGTCGTCGAATTTTTAAGGGCGGAAAAATTCAGGGAACAAGCCCTCCAGGAGGGACTTTAAGCCGTGTGTCCCGTGTCGTAACTTTACGGCACGTAAAAGAACCTCATATCTCCAAAGGAGATCACTGAGCCAAATTCCAGGACGTTTCCCGCCCAACAATAGTCTCTAAGGCCTCTGATAGATGGGGGAAGCATTATAGACACCGCCAAGCAAGTGGCCGAACTCGCTTGCTCGGCGAGACTGATGGCACGCACCATTATCGGTAGGGTATAGAGACTGGTAGAATATCATAGAGGGAAGCACAATGGACCAATACTGCTCTAAGTGCATGGGGAAACCCACCCTCTCCAATAACTAACTAACTAACTAACTAACTAAGCTATGGCACGGATACGCTGGGGCCATACTCTTCCAGGTTATTTTCAACTGTGCGGTGCTAGGGTATCAGATGTAATTTTACTGAAGCGAAATGTATTTCACTTACCTCGTCGTGTCTACAGGTTACGTTATGAACTTCTTTATGCGCCTTTCGAAGGTACAAGCTCAACAATTTCGGTCAAATGGTTACGACGTCTAAAAATATCTTATCTTCCTGTAGACAATAATTCAATACTGATAATATTACTTATTCTGGGACTCAGTGTACATGTTCTGTCCACTATGGTATGTGTTCATTTATTTCGCGTATAATACAAAAGGCAATATAAAGCAATAAAGCAGCAAATACACTGTCTCTTGTTCTTCATCTCAAACATGTAATTAATTGAAGAAAGCAGTCTTCTGGGATTTGGCACCGTGTATATGTGCTGTTAACCGACGTTTCGGAGGAACGTATCGCCTCCATCTTCAGGGTAGAAGAAAAAATATAAGAATTCTCTCCGCTTGCAGAATTCTTATATTTTTTCTTCTACCCTGAAGATGGAGGCGATACGTTCCTCCGAAACGTCGGTTAACACCACATATACACGGTGCCAAATCCAAGAAGACTGCTTTCTTCATAGTCACCGCCGTGAAAGCCTCAAATCTTACATGTAATTAATTTATTGCGTCACCTAATGCGCTCTGTCTACAGTTCCACATACTGATTGGTATTCAGATATCTTCATCATATTAAAAAAAACAAGTAACACCCAAGATAATTAAAACGTTAAATTATAAAATCACGTCATCTGAGACATTCTTTCTTGGGAAAGGTTATTTTTTCCACAATGATATAGCTTACTTGGAAGTGGTCGTAGCCTGTACAAGGGATTTACCTCGATCTGCAGCGAAAAGGCAACCTATAAACCTAAGTAGAAACGTAAGGATCAAAATATACACCACTGTAATTTTATCTGTTCTATACGACCTCTCAACCTAAAGGGAGAATATGATAATACATGAACGGTGCTGAAAACAAGAAATAGCCGCTGCAGCATATGTAGACAAGAGAAGGTGTCCCTGGTATTTAAAACTTTAAATTTTGAACTTTATATTTTAGAAATTTTAAATTTTAAACTGGAATTCTAAAAATCAAATTGACGAGCGTGTGTTGGCGAGATTTTAAAACAAAACTTACAGGCTGATGTTTTAGATTTTGGACTGTGTGCAGTGTGACAGCTACGTAGTGAAACATACACCTGATGATGGCCAATTACGGCCGAAACATGTAGTGTAGAGGAAGAAAGGACAAAGATCTACAACCAAATAAATTGTTGCATTCACGATGGCATTTGTATTATTACATATATAAGTGTAGAGTGCAACAGGATGCTTAAATATAATATATATAATATACTAAAGGGAGAACATTTATTGTGGATGTTTGGGAACAGGGTGCTGAGAAGAATGTTTGGAACTACGAGAGATGAATTAACCAGGGGTTGGGGGTGGAGAGAACTGCAATGCGGAGCTTCATAATTTGTACTCTCCAGTAAATATTACGGGGATAACAAAATCACGGAGGGTGAGATGAGGGAAATGTAGCGCATGTGGAAGAAGAGAAATTCATAACAAATTAGCGTCATGAAGGGACCATTTTGGAGACCTTGACCTAGACCGGAAGACAGCATTAAGACTGATCTTAAATAAAGAGGATGTGTGGGTGTGGACTGGACTCAAAGGATACAATGGTGGGATCTTGTACACACGGTAGGAATAATGAATCCCCGGGTTCCACTTGACCAGTGACGACTGTCAGCTTCTCAAGACAGACGTGTAACTGTTTCAGTTTGAGTAAGCTGGCGCCCGGATTAGGCACCCCGATGGCCTAGGCAAGCAGAAGGAGCGGCGGCGTGAGAATGGCTACAGCAGGAGGTGGGGGCGGTGGAGGTGTGTTGGTGGCTACGCTGTGGTGGATATGTCTGATGTGGGGGTGGGCGCACGTCGCACCCCAAACCCACCAGTGCCCGTCCCATCACGATCTCGCTCCCTGTGCATGCACCGTCAAGAAGAATGGCCTCGACCTCTTGTGTGAGTTCACGGACCAGCAACACATCACTCATGCAATGACCGCACTTAAAGGTTCGTCTGAAGTCATCTTCTACCTGAAACTCCGTCATAACAGCCTGCCCAAACTGCAGGACTTCGTGTTCCTCGGACTGGACATCCGCCACCTCACCATCCACAACAGTAGCCTCGCCGTGGTCGAGGAGTCTTCACTCAGCTCTCTGGGTAGGTATCACAAGTGAGACTATGAAGACGCCATGCAGTCTTGTAGGAGTCTGTCAACGTTTCAGACGAACGTACCACCTCCATTTTCATGGTCGCAGAACAAGTCAGCAAACTTACTCTTCGACCCTGAAGATGGAGATAGTATGTCCCTCCAAAACATCAGTAAACTTCTACTAGTCTACATGGCATGCATCCCACAAGACAGTACTCTTCAACGAGAGGACCGTTCTTTTTGAACGTTCTCGTGAGATACTGACAACTGGGAATTTAACTCGGTGAAAGGGATTAAGAGCAGCACCAGCAGTAACTCAGTTCAGGGGTCCGAAGCATTTTATGTTACACGCTATGAAGATGCTTACAACTTTCCTCAATATTATAAGGGAGAAAAGGAGATTCGTGATGCCTGGAACAAAGTGCTCTAGAGGAGGGTGTAGGTCTACGAGAGACGAAGTGACAGGAGAATTGCGAAGAAAAGTGCATAATCGAGAAAATGGTAATTTGTACTTTTCATCAGATATTAGGGTAATCGAATCAAAGAGGATGGGTTCACCTGAGCATTAACTCGCATCGGGAAATGAGAAAGGAAAATAGAACGTTGCTTTGAAAATGTCGAGAAAACATAACACTGAGATCTAGACACTGATGGGAGGATAATATCAAAATTTCTTAACCAGTTGTGCGACTAGCTTTCTAAAAAGGAACCAATTCCATGTAGTTAGTTAACTTACAACACAGATGCATTCAATGCGTTTACGATAGCAAAGCATAATGATGAAATTTGAAAAGGACGAATTCCGGAATTTCTGATGAAGCTTATTATTCGGTTCCGAAACTCTGTTACTTGGAGAGAGAGAGAGGGGGGGGGTCAGTGCAAGCTAAGTGCTAGAGAGAGGATATGATTCTCCTGCAAATTAACTCGTACCAGGAACTGCATAAAAAAGTAAAGTTGTTCCTGTGCTTAACGCCATGAAGGCGTATGGGGGAGTGGATGTATAGATTCACATTTTCTTGACCTCGGCACTAGTCGGAGGCGAGTGTTCAGCTTCACGCCCCTGCCGCTTTACCTCGGCGAAAGAGCCCCCGCTACCCACTGGATAGGAGGCTGGGTGAGTCCCGGAGCCGGTCTGGACGACGTGGGGAAGAGAACATTCCTGACTCTACCGGGACTCGAACTCCGACTCCTAGGTCGTCCAGCCCGGAGCCAGTTGATATAGCGACTACGCTATCCCGGATCCCCACCAGGAAATGCATAAAAGTATAAAATGATAAAACAGTATTTAGCACCTTCATGTAGTCAATGGGAAAGCAGATTAACGGGACAGCATGACGTAAGAAATGAAGAGAAGGGAGATTCCTAGAAAACTGCCATGGGCGAATATCACGGAGAATAATTTGAAAATGAATGGTTAAGCTTGGAGAACTTTAACGTAAAACTTACTTCAAAAGAAACAAATCATGGTTACAATATGTGAAGTCGAAGGACGGTGCTTAATGGCGGTATTTGTTGCTGCTGAAAAAAACAGAAATAAGTTGAGATTTTGAGTCTTGGTGGATAGGAACAACAACACTGTGGTCTTCTGGATTATGCCACTACGTAGTTTCGTACATGATTGCCATCTTCAAGGTGGATACAGACAACAGGTTTCTCCGAATGTCCTGTAACGACCTACGAAACTACATGATGTCCTAACGAAGGCCACAGTTTTATGTAATAATGAAGTTATTTCATATTTGCCTTTGTGTTCTCACAACTAAGGGGACACGTAGTAGAGTACTTCGTTGAGGCACTATGCTACAAGACTGAAGATCGCGGGTTCGATTCCCGATATGGTCATTGGACTTTTTTCCAATTGAACTAATTCTTCAAGCCGCACTATGAACCTGGGGTCGACTCAGCCTGTACCAGGACTCATGGGGGGGAGGGGGTAAAGGGCAGCCGGTGAGTAAGGCTGACAACCTCACCGCCATCTGTGAGCCGATTGTCTAGAAGATGTGGGAGCCTGGACTTCCCACAACCCTATCGGCCTCCATGGCATGTTACAGGGGTAGCTTTACCTTCTCACAACTACGGACATACCACACCTGAGGTACACTCAGCCTCCTACCGGGGGTTTGCGAGGGGTGGTTAAAGAGGCCGATGTGTGAGGATGACAACTCGTCTGCCATACGCTCAAATACCGCATACGTCATAATGCCGTACTGTGTAATTCATATCAGAGACTTCAACTAATGGTGCTGTGCGTTCGTTTCAGGAAAAGGGCTGACGCAGTTGGACCTGTCTCAGAACGGGCTGATTTCGGTGCCGTCCGCCGCGTTCCGCAACCTTCACCACCTGCTGATCCTCAACCTGAACCACAACAGAATCACCGCGATCCACAACAAGGCCTTCGAGGGACTTGACACGCTGGAGATCCTCACGCTGTATGAGAACAAGATAATGACTATCGAGTCAGATGCCTTTAAAGGGCTGGACAAGTAAGTGGGGGCGCACTTGCACTTTGTATGGCGGGCTTGCTGGCTGACTGGGGCACGCATGCGAGAGAAATGCATAAAGTTTCCGTAGGAAAAGTACAAGAAAACAGACAAATAGAAGATCCAGGCGTAGATGAGAGTATAATAATGAAACGTATCTTAAAGTAATGGGATGATAGGATCTGGAATGGATTAATCTGGCTCAGGATAGGAGTGGCGGGTTCTTGTGGACACATCAATGAACATTCGAGTTCCATGAAAGTAGCTGAGCAACTATTAGCTTCTCAAGAGCGATTCAGCTCCAGAGTTAATTAGTTTTCTCCCTGCAACGAACCAGTCGGACATGTACTGTCAATGTGTGAGGCAGTCCACACACTGGCCACCAAAGAACATGTAAGCAAGATACCACACACGAAATACATATCTCTGCATAAACGGAGCATAAGCAGGAAGAACACCATGACAAACGATACATCATTTTACATAATTTTAAATTATTTTAAATTTATTCTCACATGTTAAATTATTTTAACAAGAATCAATTTTGGGTTTTAAAGTAATAAAGTTCGGACTTAGAGCCCTCACGGGTTATGTAATATTACAGTGCAGTATAGCAATTTACGAAAATCATCATATATACCTGAGGGTGGTTCAGTGGCAGAAACATATAGTGAAAGCATGGACTAAGTGGCGAGTTCGACAACAATCTGTGAAGACTGTATTGCATATGTGTGTGTATCGTATGTATGTGTGTATATATACACACATACATAAACTGAGCAGGATGCTCAAATACAATATTTTATTTCTTCCTCTCTCTTGGGTCGAAAGATTTTCCTCAGCCACATTTATAGAATGAAGACGCCTACGTGTACATTTCCTCTCCCCCTGCCATAGAAAAACACGTTTCAAGCAGAGTTTCTATTGAAGCCACCATACAAATTTCATGCATAAAGTTACAATCACGTGATGTCATCATTAAACCGAAATGTAATAAAGGGTCCCTGTGTTACTGTACATTTGCACACAAAATATCGCGCCACTGACAGCTGCATTTCTTTACGTCTCCCACCCCATACTGAGGGAAACGTTGATTTGTTTTCTGTTTAACGATGCCGTATTAATTACTATGTTATTCAGCGTCCAATTGTAGGACATGGATACAGAAGCTGAATTGGAAAATGGATCAACTCCCAAAAAAATAAAAGAAATTAACTCGTACATGGAATTTTACTACATATGTCCACAAAATTATGAAGTGTTATTACAATAGTAATGTTGTATTTTGGCGTCCTGTTGCACTGATTTTCATCCATGATATGTATACAGTGGCCGTCTTGTAGTGCACTCAGTTTCACCTGTTACTTCACGACATGTTTCGGCAACATAGTGCCATCATCAGGTGTCCCAATTACGCTAATCTATTTCATTGCTTGCCTTTATAAAATTATTTAAAAAGTATTTAAAAAGTGCGTATTTGTCAGCTATAATAAATTTACACACACTAAAACGTGTTAAGATTATTCATCTTTTTTTTTTCCTGTGGCGCTACAGCCCCAATTTGGGCCTAGGCCTACCTCCATGCAACTCTCCGGTTTACTTCG